TTTTGCACAAAGAGGCGTGCAGCATGTGTGCAGCTGGAACTAGACGTGTTCTTGTTTCTGCTGCGTCTTTTATGGGTGAGGCTCGTGTTACTTCTCTCATCAGTCACTCAGAATCGGACGTATCTGAGTCCGGTGACGTCCTGCAGCGTCCTCGGGCGTCTCCTTGCTGCCGCGTCACGTTTTAACGAGCAGATCTTTCCCATAGACGCTGCACACAGGTGGTCTTATGTAAGACTCGGGCGCACTGATCAGCAGCACTCCCAAACTGGGCCTGACACCTCTGCATTAGCAGCCCACGTGTGTTGAAACGAGACATTTTTGTGCAGTTGAGCGAGCTCGCTGTGCCTGGATTGGAGCACTTGTACTGTACAAACAGACGAGCTGCACAGGAAGAAGAAATCAGAGGTTCTGGATGAAAGTGCAGAAACTCCAGTGACTGTGCAGACGTTATATATTTGTGTTAGTACTGGATGAACTGAGTCTGTTAATGATGAAACCTGCTGAGTCTTTCACTGTGAAGCCCAACATGCCTGCAGACTGAGGGCTTTTGATCCGACTGTACTCCGGCCTGCTGCTGGCTGCACTTGGATTAAGGCCCATTCGCTTTGGCAAAATGGGAAAATGGGAATTCACCCAAGCGGTGAGTCTATCCTGTCACTGACACCGACACTGCCTGCTTATGCACGGAGGACCTGATGCCCGGTGAAGCCGAGCATCATGCATGAGCATCTACGCGCAGCGAGCGCGCAGGAACAAAGCCAAAGCCTGCATGTTAGCAGCGCCATCTTATATAATGCTGCCTATAAATGTTGTTATCACCTCTGTGATCGTGTGCCATTGCTCGCCCAGTTTTTCGAGCCTTCCAGACAACCTGGAAAACTGGAAATATTAGACGCACCTAATAAAGTGTCAGTCAGAGAAACGATTGTGAAACTGCAGGTCAGCCGTTGAAGATCCGAGCAAAGCATCAAGTTGCACAATGTGCATCAAATTCATCCCTTTGAGTTTCCCCAAAAACAAAAGTGCAGCGTGGAGCCCGGCTGGGTTTAGTTTAAAGGCCTCCTGACAGACGTTGACCACATCTGTGCTCAGCTGGTCTCTGTAAGTCTCACTTCACGCCTCAGATTGTTGAAGACGTCGTAGTTTGCCAGCATCTCAAAGGCTCGGTTGTTTGACGCCTCCTCAGAGTGATGCTCGAGTGTCGGTGAAGCACCGCTGCAGTGTTTTAATGGTGTGTGTGGATGTTAGTCTGCACAGACACAAGCATTCAGGATTCTGTCGCTGCAGGGCTTTTTTTACCCCATCAAACCTGTTAGTTCCTCCAGTTAGATCAGCAGAAACAGAAAAAGCTGTGATTGCTTCCATTATCAGTGCCTCTGCAGTGCATTATGGGTTGTGCGTGACAGCCGGCGCGTGTGTTTTCTTAATGAAATGATTAAGCAGCGGTGTTTATGTGGTGCTTCTCTGCAGAGGCCTCAGTTAGAGATGCTTTATGACACATAAAACAATCAGCTGTCCCTCGCCTCGTCCATGGACTTCAGCTGCACCTCCTTGGACTGGTCCTCAGTGAGCCCAGTGCAGCAGGACTTTAACCAGTTATCCACCTGCTGCAGGTGCTTGTTAGACATCTCTAGACGGCTCCGACTGCAGCGTGAGACCTGCTGGAGAGGCAGCTGAACGAAATGCAGCTCTGAGCTACGCAGGGAGAAAGCTGGAGATGATGCATGACTCCAGACGGGACGTCAGACAGATGGGAAATCACCGTCAGTGCGGCTGATACCTGATCTGAGTTGATGCCAGT